GGTAATCAAACCCACATCACTGGAGTTATGAGGCCCCAGTGTCATGTGCCTATTCATCGTAACACCGCTTTGTGGAGAAGCCATCTTGAGGGTTATCTTTCTGTAGCCTGTCTGTAACTGTTAGCGTATTGTTTCTTTTGGGAAAGTCTGGTGACCTCACCATTGACCCACCATTAGCACCCGGATCACTTCTGCATCTCCACACAGTAGTTGTACAATTTTTTATTTTTTTTTTCCTCATGCAAGAATTGTGACACAACCATAGCAGCTGAGATGGCAACAACGGTTGTACAACCCAAAGGCCTCTAAAACATTTTGAAAGAGTGGCAAGAACAGGATTCATATGTGTTACTGTGTTACTAATTTGACTGATAAAAAAAGGTGATGACCCAGTAATGAATCTGACAGAAATGTAATCTTCCTGGTCTGCTGATAACTCAAACAGTAACTATGGTTACGTTTGGGCTGTTGTAAGATGGGTCCTCCCAGGCCTGAGTACACCGTTACTTTTATTTTTCAGAAAGTTTTTATGTACAGTGTATCATTACTATCAGACTGCTTCAGGACCATCATCTGCCATGTTTACACAGGCAAATCTGGAAAGTTCTGGGGCTTCTCCAATTATGTCTGTTTGCATTCATCTGTTATTTTTTTTATTATTATTTTCTTTTCGAACATTTAGAATGCCTCTTTGCAAAGTCATAGGCTTGCTTGTACCAGAAAGACAGAGCACATAAATTTTGACCTGTCCAGTTCTGTGACTCTGCTGATGCAGTCTCTTCTGGTGTTCTGGGATTCTGAATGTAGGAATCTGGCTGGAACACTTGTCTATGGTGCCTAAGGGATGATCCTGATCTCACAGAGCCTGGAAGAACGATCAGCATTTTCACACAATGAACTGAGAAAAAGAGAGGAAACTGAATAGCGGTTATTGGAGTTACATTACTAAAACAGAAACCCTGGTCTGATGCCTTTAAACTCTTCATCTGCTTGATAGGAAATTATGAATTAGCTCAAAATTCCAGATTAATATCTTAAAGTTACGGCTTAATTTAAAAGGTCATCAGGCTATTTGTTTCTCATGTGTTTGGCTAGCTAGCTTATTCACCATTTCATACAGGTTAGGTGGGCTTGTGTGTTGCACAGAAGAATGAGCTACCCTTCGGACAACACACTATATCACATGTCACAACATGGACTGGTGCACCCTGAAGGAATCATGGTGATGCTCTGAAAGGTGATTGGCTAAGAGGTGGGTTCAAATGTTCCAACTTCAGGGAGTCTCTTCAGAAAATTGTGGCACACCACAACAAAATGTGTCCTCTAAACTTAACAGAGGACAGCTAACTGAATACCCAGGGAGCAGTACTTTGCTCAAGGCAACTTACTAGTACATTGCTGATTAGGGACTTGAACCAACAAACTTTGAATTAGAAATGCATGTCCCTACCCATTAGGCTACCACTGCTCCAGGATTTAAACCTAGGACCTCTCACACCCAATGCAAGAATCATACCTCTAGACCAACAAGCCAGCTAATTCTGAACCTGGCTGAGATCCATCCGCTGTTCACGTACAGTCTCATCTGACATGGAGTGTGAAAATGGTATATGGCGTACAAAGCTGCCAAACTGAACGTTATACTGGAAGGAATACGAGCGAATAATGTTGCATCCAAACATCCAGATGAACAGAACTTTGAGATTTTAATTTTAAAACGGAAAAGACGGCATGGAATTTTAAGAAACAGTTCCCTTTAAATGCCTTTAACCAACAGGGATGGAAAGTCCCTAACCCCACTCCCATTTCATCTCTTCACTCCCCCACTCCAGCACAGCTGGTTCCTTAATTAAACAGAAATGGATTTTTACCAGCAATTGCAGTCAGTCTGTGATTGTGGGCAATGGGATGTATCCTCCACAGAAGATCATCCAATGTTATGACTGGTTCAGTTCAGAAAGCTGGATGATGTGAGCTTTCTCACAAGCTACATCGGGATACATGTAACACTCTGAATATGACAAGTGTGGCACAGCATACATTTTCAGCACTTCAAGGGTCCAACTAATGACTGCAGCAAAACCTTGACATGCACTGTTATTGACAATTCATTTAAAGCTAGCATGGAAAAAAAAAACAATTAAATATTAATCGTTCCTGCATCATTTCTGCTCGCAAAAGAGACTCATACTGCTGCACCCACAACATAGTACTGCTCTTTGTGTTCAAGAAATGTATTCTATTCAACTTTATTTGTATAGCGTATTTTCAGAACATTACGTTGTCTCAAAGTGTTTTGCATTATGCCTGCCCAAAGCCCCCAGTCAGCAAGCCAGAGGCGACGGTGGCAAGGAAAAACTCCCTAGGAGGAAGAAACCTTGGGAGGAACCAGACTCAAAGTGGGAGCCCATCTTCCAGGGGCCGGCAGAGGAAGTCAAATGAACAAGGTGGCAAAATCCTGATTTACACAGTGCAAATTTTAAGATTTTAAGAATCTAATTGTGGAGAGCAGGTAGGTGCTGGTGCTGCTTCGGATGGCAGGATGAACAGAGGTATAGCAGCAGGGCAGGCAGGAGAGATGCCACAGGCAGACGGGCGAGCGGGTAATAGGGTAGGCAGAATGTCTTCATGTACAAGTGCTTCAGCCTAAATACACATCATCATCTTCATGGAAAAGAATTTCAGGTCTTTAAATAGAACATTTCATGCTATATCTGCAATATTTATGCACCAAATACCCAGTGTCACACCTCCAGCTCTTTGTGTGGGAGGAATATATGTTTGCATGTTGTGCTTATAAAGGTCTCCTTCATGTACTCCAGAAAACATTTGTTTAGGAGATACGGTCTGTATGAATGTGTGTGACCCGTGATGGACCAGCATCCAGTCCTGTGTTTTCCCCTGTCCTCTGCCCTATGCTACCTCAATGAAGCCCCAGTCTCCAGGAGACCCTGTGCTAGATCAGTTGCCCAGAACACTGATTGATAGATGTTCATTATCCGTAGTGTAGAAGCTGATCAAACCAAATGTTGCCCACTTTGTTTGACTACTGTGAATACTCTAAAATAGCATTCAGCAACATAATACCCAGCATACCATCTCTCACCATTCATCCATCTTCCAAACATTTGTCTATTTCAGTGTCAGTGGGGGCAGCATAGGGCATGTGGGGGGGGGAAAGACCTCAGACAGAATGCAAGTCCACACACACACACACAGAGCAGGGACAGGTCAAACCCCCCAACCCTGGAAGTGTGATGCAATGCCAATGTCAACTGACCCACCAGACCACTGCTTCTTTAACTGCACCAAAGAAATCACTGACTGAATAAGCTGCCCTCAGACTTACACACTGAAAATGAAAAAGCATCTTATGCTGTCGACATGGACTGTCATAGTTTTTTTTGGGTAGGGTTAGGGGTATAATTCCTGCTTCTTAATCTACATAGCAACGCTGACTGAGCACATTTTTGGTTCATTGCTGGAAGTCAAGGGAAATGTTCGATTGCTGCATTCTTTCAAGGAAATTAGCGGGAGAACATTTCAAACTGGATTTAAGGAAGCACTTCTTTACACAGCGTGTAGTCAGAGTATGGAATAGTCTTCCTGATAACGTAGTG